GGGATGGGGAGTGCGTGCGTATTACACGCTAAATAATGCGTATCATATGCACGCGAAAAACTGCGTATCATAAACACGCAAAAACTACTTTTGGCGTATAAATGACACGAAAAAATGTAATTCGTGGTATAGATACGCACTTTCATGAGATCGGGCTGCTGGTACTCTGCATTTCTCCCCTTGAGGTTAATGCTTATTGTACGCTGTCCCTGTTTCTAAAAAAAAAAAAAAAAAAAATTTTAACAAAGAAGATAATAGAATGGTCACTCAACCCATATTTTATAACGCCGCTTTCAGTTATCCTCGATTAGTCTGACACTAGGACAAGGTGGATCGTGGTTTGGGTGGTAGAGCACACACGTGTTCATCATCAGCTGATGGAAACTATAGGAGCGACAGAAATGCATCAATGCTTTATACCCAGAAACATCACTGAAATCCCCCCACATGATAACTTTACCCAAGTCCATGCAATTTGAACAAACATCCTCTAAAAGTTCATAAAACTGTGTTTGATCAGGCGCTCTATAACATGCGCAAATTAGTATGGGCTTACTCTTCGGTAGCAAAATCTCCAACCAGACCGCTTCAACCTGCTCACTATTTAAATCCATTCTATGATTAAAACCAATGTCCGCTCTTACATATATACACACCGCTCCACCTTTACAGTTTCGATCTCTCCTAATTACGAATAGCTCTCCAGTTCAATTTCAGCGTCCGTAATGGAGTCATCCAGCCATGTCTCGGTCAAACGGGGGGGGCCGGGGGGGGCTCAAGCCCCTGCCCCTTTTGTCTCAAAATGTATTGTGCCCTTTCTGATCATTGTAAATAATAATAATAATAATTATAAATATTATAATAAATAACAATACACTTACACACCCTTGCCACTAACAATAATTATACAAATAAATATTATATAAAAAAAAAATTTGGCGGAGAAGTGGTAGGCGGAGTTTCCTTTGCAGCGCCTCGTACGCATTTAACGGTTCTGGTCCGCACTACGCAGCAGTTCGCGCGAGTCTTCAAACGAGCAGCAGGTAACGTTAAAGCCAAGGGCGTAGATTTGGTTTGAACATTGGGGGGGTTGAAGTTTGGGTATGCCTCCTGATATAGACTATGTGCACGTTAGCATATGCTACTTCCGGCTGCGAAACCGATAGGGGGTGTCTAGTTTCCGGTAGCCTGATGGACGACGTAGAAGTAATGTTAAACATTGTTTACTTTTAACAATGCAGCAGCGCCTGGTTACCGTAATTCCTCAAATAAAAACCGGTATTCAAATAAACGCCGGGCCTCTGATAATGGCCGGGTGCGTGATCAACGCGGACAAATAAAGGCCGGGGGAAAATTAGTGTGGATAATCTCCTAAATGACTTTCATTGAAGAGATGTTACACCTGTCCACTTCATGCGTGTTCTGTGATCTGATCGTGAAAAGACCATGTATAAATGCCATCCGAAGCACATTCGAGACAATTTAAATCCGATCGCTCAAACCACTTCTTCAGGAGGAGATCTGAGACGAGATTCCAGACGAAACTGCACAAGTGTAAATCAAATGCATCTGATTGTTGAAACCACGTATCTAAATTTTACTCCTCCCAAAAACGCTAAAAAATAAGTGTGAGAGCGTGTTATAGGCTATGTAATGTTATAGCAAGATGTGACAACGCTACTGCAACACGCATCACGGCAGCCGAGCATCTATCCATAAAGCCAACGTGCAAACTATTGCAAATTAAAGTGAAAGTAAGTCGCAGACAATTCTCCTCATCATTAAAAGTAAAGAAACGAAATGATCTTACCAGGCTTGTTGCCGCTCTCGCTTATTGCGGTCTTTTGATTTAGAAATGAGCTGATCTATCAAATGCAGCTCATATCTGTTGCTTTCGGTGACGTCCACTCCATTAAATCCGCATATAGCGTGGGAATTGAAGATTTATATCCGTTTTGCGAAAACGCATTTGTGAGCAGATTTAAGTAGAATTGTTTTGATAAATCAGAGAGCTTTCCGATCTGAGAAAACACATGAAGTGGCCAGGTGTAAACATCCCCTAATATGCATTCAAGTTCATCGTAACGTACAGCCAATAGATGGTAGTAGACAATAGATGTAACACACATATAATTTAGTGCTGCTAGTGTAACGGTCTTTTCAACAACTTTAATGAAAACGAAATTGTCTTGAGGAGCATGGAACCCAGACGGAAATTTGATTTAGATTTTTTTTAAATAAAGCGCCTGCCTCTAATAAAAGCCTGTTACCTTCTGCAGTTTAGGTAAATAAAGGCCCCAGCTTTTATTTGAGGAATTATGGTATTACCACCGACTGCCCTTTGAAAAGTGAATCGGTTTTTTTTATGTTTTAGGTCCATTGCGAACGATTAAACTAACTTAACGCTGGTCCACTGATGTAAACAAGACGGCAACCGGAAACGAAGTACCCAATTTCCACCCTCAAGCCGGAAGTTAGCATTTTTCTCGTGCACAGAGCGAATTGTGATCATGGTATAAATAATAGGGGGGTTGTAATGCATAGATTTAAATATTGGGGGGGTTATATCCCCCCCCATCCCCCCCTACAAATTACGCCCCTGGTTAAAGCTAATACGAAAATTACATTTATCCTACGATCAACATGCTACTCTAAAAGTTGCGGCAGCAAGCGAGTTATTCTTAACTATAATAAAAGTATAACTCGATTTCAGACGCATTCTGAGTGACAATGTTTTTCGTTTTTATCCAGGGAATAAAAGTGCAAGGGGAAATACATCTAGTTAAATGAAATATTAAGTCAATGTCCAACTCTAAATTGTAAGGAACTTATATCTTTGATTTCATAGTAACGCTTTACAATAAGGTTCATTTGTTCATTACTCATGTATGAACTAGCATGAACTAACCATGAGCAACACATTTGTTTCTGTATCTTAGTTAATAATACAACTGTTAATTGTTTATTCATGTTATGTCACAGTCAGTGCATTAACTAATGATAACAAATACAACTTTTGATTTTAATGTTTTAGTAAATGCTGAAATTAATATTAACTAAGATTAATAAATGCTGTAAGTGCAGTTCATTATTAGCTAATGCTAACTAATTTAACTAATGAAACCTTACTGTAAAGTGTTACTGATTCATGATAGCTAACACTGTCTTTCATACATATAATACATACATTAAGTTTACAACATCAACAAAACTAAAAATTAGTTTTCCATAAAATTATTAATTTTACCTTCTTGATTCTCATTGTTTTGTTTGGTAAAGTAAATAATATTTAGTAATATTATCATAATTTCCCTATTTTCATTTGATGTGTTATGCATTCTAATAATTGTACAAAACATATTTTCTTAGAATGCCAAGGAAAGAAAGAATAATAAAAATAAAAAAATCAAGGAACTCTATGATGCAGCCAAAGGAAGCATCCCTCTCACAAGTTGGCTGAATAGAGAGAATAAAAATGCAGGTACTGTTAAATTAAATATAAAAAAAAATTAGTGCCCTTTTTGGTCCATCCGCCCCTGCCCCTGAGGAGGTCTGTGCACGCCACTGATCCAAATATACCGGGCATTGATGTATATCTCCAGATAATAATAGGCAGATACAAATTATAAATTGGTCGCCATTCACTTGCCTTTTGACGCCACCTTTATCTCCTTTATCATTGCGCTTGGCTGGATACCAACATGGATAGAGAAATGTGTCCATAAAGATTTTCTTCCCATAACCAAATTGTTTTTTAAATAAAAATTAGTTTGAGTGAGCATAACAACTATGTAAATGCCCCTCAAAACAGGTTTTAGGGCCGTTTTCTAAAAAATTCATAATAAATATGTATGCTAAAAGCACCACACTTGCCAGATGCCATCTTGAAACAATCTACGTTGTTAAAAGCGCTATATAAATGAGGATGACTTGACTTGACTTAAATCAATTTATTTATTTTAAAGCATTATTTTATTTGAGATCAAAAGCATTTATTAATTCATTCATTAAATATAAGATTGTTTTTCTTGAAACGTTCTCGTTATTTAAACCACTAAAGCTTTACATGAAAGTGAACAAATCAACTAGAAAACATGAAAGATCATCATCATCATCATCATTATGACCATCTTCATCATCATCATTATCATCTTCATCATCATCATTATCTTCTTCTTCATCATCATCATTATCTTCTTCTTCATCATCATTATCATCTTCATCATCATCTTAAAGAACATAAAGGCAAAAGCTTCATATTTTTCACGTCTGTAAAGAATGGATGAGGATTTTAGGAGAAATATAATTTCTCATAAAGAGTGAAATATCTAAGAAACATTTATATGAACTCCAGAATGTTCTATTGTTTTCGCATCTTACAAAAGTGTATTAAAATCCATGACTTTAAGCAAGCCATCAAACATCATCATGATATGAAAAATAATCATCAATCATGTGCGATATGAGAGATTACAGCAACAGCTGGACACACTGTATCAGTATCTGGATCATTTCATGAGTCTAGGCTTTGGCCTGTGGTTCTGGGATCTCCACTAACACTGATCTCTGATCAGCTTCATCTGCCATTTTAAACTCTTTCTTCTCTTCCTGCACGAATCGCCCGTTAATCTCTCAGTTTTTCAGTGAGAAGCTAAAATAGCCGTCAGTATCGCGCCATAACTGAGGAAACTAAAGAAATAAAAAATGAATAAATAACATTCGTGAAATTAATCAATAAACATGGATAAACAACAGAGTAAAGTTATAGCGTGCGCGCGCTCCATTCATTCGCCAAAGCCCGCGCACTGCTTTACCGCGTGGGCGGGGCTTCTGTTTCCCGTGCTCCGATTGGCTCAATGCTGTGGAGAGCCTCGATTCTGATTGGCTGGAAGTCAGTGTTGCGCTGTAAAAGCTCTGGATCGACCAGATTGTGTGAGTATTTGATTTCTAATAGTGTAATAATAATCATAACCAATCAATAATTGTGACTTAATCTGATGTGCAAGATATAAAAAGTCTTTATTAACATCCAGACATCAAAATTACTTCATATGCCAAGTGCATCTACACATTGACGGAGTCAAAACCGTAACAGCGATAACTACCAACTTAATAAGTACAATAATTGAGTTTTGTCAAAAGAAACACAAAAAAGAAGCAAGGTTCAGCACCATAAAGTGAAAGATTAGCGATGGTCAACATGAGTTTATCACAGTGTCTTCGTTCTACTTCTGAATATGATAAGAGTCTCATTACAGCACCAAAAGATCAAATAAAATGAAAGACGATAAACATAAACATCCCTCTTCTCGGCCTGTCACTCATGATTTGGCAGGTTGGTTCATCATGTTGAGGTTGTTATTAGACACACATTTCCCAGGGTTCAGTGGGGTTTGGGCGTTGACCGATCCTTTGGGTTTGGGAATCCTGGTCGGTCCAGGACGCCGGAATGATTCCAGAGGCATCTGAGAAACAGAGAGTCCAGTCAAGTCAGTCTCCTTCATTTACAGCGCTTTAACAATACAGATTTCACAGCAGCTTTACAGTGATAACAGGAGATTACAGTAACAGAGAGTGTTTAGGCTTTACAGCAGCTCTAGAATAAAGTTATAGTCCAGCTAAAGTTAGTTAGATTGATTCAGATCATTAGTTATTAACTTGGAGGCCGCTAACACGACACCGCTCTAACAGAAGACAGAAACCCTTAACCCTCACTCGCACAGCGGTGTCTGGAGATCGAGAACACACACCCTGAAACAGAGACTCGGTCAAAAAGAAAAAAAGAAAAAGTCAAGTCAAGTCATCTTCATTTATATAGCGCTTTTAACAATGGATTGTTTCAAAGCAGCTTTACAGAGATAAACATATAATTTAAGGTAACAGAGATTGTTTTGGCTTTATAGCGGTTCTTGAATAATGTTATTTCCAGCTAAAGTTAATTTTGATTTTAAAAAGAAACTGGATCAGATGTGCTGACATGAGTAGATGTGCTGAACTAACCTTCCTTCAGAGTTATCTGGTCTTTAATAATGTTCTCAAAACATAAGCACAAAAACATTGGGTTACAGTGTAATTATATTTAAGTGCTGAGTAATATTAAGCAACTATACTTAGCCTACTATAGGGTTAGGGTAGGATTAGGGTTTGGTTGAGGGTTAGTTGCATGTAATTATGCATAATTTACTGTTATTACTATGGTAAGTACATGAAACATATGTGACAAGGACACTGTAAAATAAAGTGTTACCAAACATTGTTCATGGAACCAGGGACGTGCACAGGGGGGTTGCTCAGGTTGCCCGGGCAACTGCCCATATGCCCTTCTCGACTCAGGTTGCCCTTCCGAGAAAAAAATAAAAATAAAAAAATCGTACAATGGATGCAGAATTTCACGTAGGCCTAGATAAAAAAATAAATAATAATAAAAAAATGTAAAAAAATTCGCAAAGCCTCATTCACTTCCATTCGGGCACTCAGCTCAAGCTCTGCACGCGACCATAGACTGCACGCGACCGGTGCGTAAGACCCCGCCTCCATCTCGTGTCATAGCGCGTCAATTAATGTGTACAACATCCATGACAAAATGAAGCGAAACTATCCTTCTGGTCACGAAAAGAGGAAGAAGAAAAAAACCATAAGAGTGAATTGCGGGAACAACAATCAGGTAAACTTGTGTTCTCTCCTCTCTAAGTTTGATGTCAGCAAAGTTTGATGTTTTTCGGTCTTGCTAACCTAGCTGGGCAGGCAGTGCATCTCTTGCATCACTTTGTGCCTGACAAAAGTGAGAGTAAAATACAATTATTTATTACGTTTGATTTTGATAAACGACAAAGTGCAACGGTGTTTGTTTACTGCAGCTCGGAAAACATAACCGCGTCGCGTGTGTTATCGTGCGTTCATGCGCGTGCACGAAATGAAACGCGCATTTTTCAAGCAGAAATATGTGGAGACCAGACATACTGTACAATATATGCACGTGAATGATGGCACTCACAATCAAACTACACATTATACGTTTAAAACAAGACACTGATTATCTAGTCTCAGTGTTAAAAACTCTGAACAACTGCACTAATTATGCAAGATAGAAAGCAATGTATTGACAATTTGACATTGATTGACTATTGATTTATAGGCTATATTGAATTTAAAATGTTGATTAGCTGGACATACTAGTCAATATGGATGCCCATCCCTCAGTAAATAATAACCATAAATCAAGAATTGCTTCAACATGCATAATAATAAATAAAAAAAATCATACTGATGCCGAAAATACCCAGGCTGTAGAGGGAACCAAAGTTAATCCGAAAAAAGCCAAAGCTCAGGGTTATAATTTATTATTTTCTTCTTATTTATGTTTACGTTAATATTCACTTGTTATGTTAACATTCTATAGAAAATACTCTATGCAATAAATATTGTTTGTTTGAACCTCGTTCTGTTCTATATTGTTGTACTTATTCTTTGACTGTTTTGTTTAAAGGAGGGAGGATTGTATTGGGAGCACTGAAGTGTCAGGTGTGACTGTGGCAATGGCAAATGGTTTACATAGCTCACGACATCACAGGTCAGGTAGAGGCCCCTTAGGGCCCCAGGGGGAGGTCAGGATCGGCACTGGGTTTAGCAGTCGATTCTGTTCCTTACCGGAATTCCTGTTCCCTTTACGCAATCATACTACAAATCATGCGTAGTTGCCCGTAGCCTACCATCACAACTGAATACGAGCAAGAAGCACAACTGAATGTACGGGAAGCCAAAAGGTTAAAAAAGGATTGTATTTTTCCCCGAAATCTAAGCGTTTTTTTATTACAAGCGAGTTTTTCCATTCAATCCAGATTATTTCTTTAAAAAACAAAAAACAAACAAAAAAAACAATAAACAATAATATGAGGAACTCTTTTTCTCATGTGTCTCATCTCTGGGGGGGGGGGGGGGGGGGGGGGGTTGCCCTTTTTTCAGGTCAGAGCAACTGCCCCTCAAAATTCCTGTGCACGTCCTTGCATGGAACTGTTTTCTGAAACGTTCGTCTAACGTTTTTTAAATGTTACTCGTTTCAGTCAATGAAATGAGAGATTATACAGATATGTGATGTGTTGAGATGACCAGAAGATGGCGCTGTCGATCACTCATCAGCTCCAGCACACACACACACACACACACACACACACACACACACACACACTTCATGCCTTTCTGTCTTAGCAGGGAAATGGTTCACCTTTCCTTTCATTTTGTCCTCCATAAAGAAAAAACAGTTATAGCAGAGAACACCGAACACACTGTCACAATTATGACCAGAAATGGGTAAATATTAGGCTAAGTCTCATGTCAAACACATCTATCCCGATCTGAAGCGAGTGACATATAAACACACACACACACACCAACCCGATCACATGTTCAGCGCTCATGCAAACACTACACTCAGATTCATCAATCGGCTTGAGTTCAGTCCGACTGGAACAGAAGCTGTGCATGTAAACGTGTGTGTGTGTGTGTGTGTGTGTGTGTGTGTGTGTGTGTGTGTGTGTGTGTGTGTGTGTGTGTCTGCTCTCCGAAACCCAACCAACAGCCTGCAGGTTTACGTCAGACATGAAAAATGTGTGTATGTGGGTCAGGCTGTGTTGGGCTCAGTAACAGCAAACACACACACACACACACACACACACGCTCCAGTCAGAGATGCACGTAATGAGCGCTAAGTGTCCTCGCGCGTCTCTCCGCTGTCACCATAGAAACTAAACAAGGCTTTTGTTTGGGCCTCAGACCCGCCTCTAAACACTCCTTCTTCTGCTGAGGAACTCACAGTTTTAGTGTTTAACGCTTTCCTTCACTCGTTTCTTCCTCTGATCGATCTTCAGCTAATCTCCTGGACACCAGGTTTGGTGTTTTAGAGGCTTAAAGATCGGCTAAACCGGCTTAAGAACGGCTAAACTACCGTTTCCCTTTTGAATTAAGTTTATTGTTCTGAGCAAACTGACAGATTTGTTTTAGTTTTAAGCACAAACTCACTTCATTTTGATATATGTGTTAGAAAACATCTCCAGTAATTGTATGGTTTGAGAATGTTTAGATGTGTTCTGGAAAACGAGCCAGAAACACACGTCATGTTCTGCGGTGTGATTGTGTGTATCTGGGTCTGTGTATAAATGTACTATATCAGCCATTACTTCACTGCAATAAAATCATATTCTTACCAAGATACTTTTACCGGAGAAGCAAAATAACACGCATTTACGTCTTGATTTCAGATAAATTTTGTGAAGATTGTGCTTAAAACCAAGAGAAAAAAAGTTTGTTAGATTTCTCTGAAAGTAAATCATGCTTCATTTTGCTGAAGTACATCTTGTTTTAAGGATGTTTAGATGTTTTGGAAAAGATTTTTTTTTTTTTTTTTTTTTTTTTTGCAGTGTTGAATTATCGAATCATATGAAAAGCACCTCTAATGAAGATGATCATGCATCGTCTCATTTGTGTTTCTCAGCATCATGGAATCGAGCTGAACGTGTGTGTGTGTGTGTGTGTGTGTGTGTGTGTGTGTGTGATTCACTAACAGGGCTGATGAGACATCGTCTCGGTTCGTGATCACAGCTGTTCCCGAGCCCTTCATGAACAGAAGTGTGTTTAGCCAGACACGCAGCGGACACACACTGCAGACGGCACAGATTCCAGCATGAATCAATTTAACGCTTGATATAGTCCTCATGTGTGTAAGCCGATTCATTAAGAAGAACACTTTCTGAAGCATGCTGTGATGTGTCCGTTTGACAGATATTTAGTTTCAAAATACTTCTGCCAAAACTTTGACCAGTGCATGCAAACTCATCAAGTTAATGCTTCAACTTCCTGCACTGCAGAGCTTTAGTGTTGTTGTTCTCCGGAGTCAGATCTCATGCGGCAGCGACGGCCATGCAGACGGTCAGACTTTTCCATGATATCACTGCCGAAGACTGCAGATTCCCTCAGTGGGAGCGGACGGTGGCGGTGCAGACCTTCTCCACTCATGCAGACCTTCTCTAACTCATTCCCTCAGGTATCAGAGGTATTATTCACTTTATAGATGTAATACTATGGGCCAGAGTTACTCAGTTTCTCCAGCGCGACCCTCTTTAGGCGTTAAACTACTGTCAGGATTTACTAAACACACGCAGTGAAACATTAGCGCTGAAAAGTTGAGGACAGGGTTATTTCTGCGGCTGATTTTATTGCCATATGCATTTGTAGGAGTTTCCCTTTCAGACGCAGTGTTTATGAGAGGAGAGTATTTAAATGAATCACGCAAGGAGTTTTACTAAGGTTTGTGCTAGTCAGTTTACTGGTATTTACGCCATTATCCATTACGTCTTAAACCAGCGCTAATCTGCGCTGCTCTTGGTAGATTGTGTTGGTCATTATGGAAATGATCCAGTTCTTTAATTTGTGTCGTCAGTAGATCCTCGCAGAACTCTACACTCCCATCGGCGCTTTTATGGGATAATTTGCACTGTTTAGTAAATCCTAAATGTCTTACTAATGGTTAAATATTGTCTGATAATGAGCATTTGAGAAATGAAATCATGCAATATTACATGATGAATGTGTGCATGTGTACCTCATCAGAATGCACCAAATACGTAAAATAATAGTAAATAATCTATTGTTAAAATTCTAATTTTAATTATGGTAGCACTTTACAGTAAGGTTCATTAGTTAACATTAGTTAATGTATTAACTAACATGAAATAACCATGAGCAATACATTTGTTACAGTATTTACTAATCTTTGTTAATGTTAGTTGATAAAAATCCAGCTGTTCATTGTGTGTTCATGTTAGTTCACAGTGCAGTAACTAATGCTAACTAATACAACCTTTGATTTTAATAATGTATTAGTAAATGGTGAAATTAATATTAACTAAGATTAATAAATGCTGTAGAAGTATTGTTCATTCTTAGTTCATGTTAACTAATAAACCTTATTGTAAAGTGTTACCTTAATTATTAACAAAAACCCAACATAAAATGTAAGAGGAAAATGAAAAACAAACCAAAAATGCGATTGTACATTAATCAGTGAACTTTAATGGTACAGGAAAATTTGCTGTCTAGCAAAAACAGTAAGTGCACTTAACCTCAAAGTGAAGTGAAAAAGCACAAGTGCTTGTGTTCTCGTTATGTGTGGGTTTCCTCTGCTTTCGATTTACATATCATGCACATAAACATCTCATTATTAGAAACAAACAAATCAAACCAACAAATCAAACTAGAGTTGCACTGGTTAGCCAGTCAGGTTATTGCAGTCAATAACACCAGATTTGAGGGGTAGCAGGAGCAGTAGATGACGGGGTCAGGGCTCATGGGTCGACGGATGATCAAGGGACACACTCTTCTACAGTCACTAATCAAACACTAGCCGGTTCGGGTCAGTCACAGATATTACTTACTGTGATTTGTGAGGGCCGTGAGACGGGACTGGATGTGGGTTTGATCACGATGCTGCTTGTGATTTTGTTGTTGGCTTTGGCGTTGGACAGCACTGGGATCCTTTGCTCCGGCCCGAGGGAGTAATAGGGGCTGACGGGTTTGCCTGAGGTGTTCACGGCTTGAATGTAGGGGCTCCCTAAGTGAATATGGATTTTGTTGTCGTCAGTGGTAATGACGTTTGGACCTGAGCTGTTGGACCTCTGTAGTTGCCAACTGTTCTGCCTTTCTGGGCTCACGCGGAATACGGGATTCGATCCGGCGAACTCTCCCGGGTCAGGGGATCCAGTGGTTACGGACACGATCTGAATGGGCGACATGGCCCGGTCCGGGGTCAGCGATCCGCAGGACTCGGGAGATAGAGTTTGGGAATAGGCTGGCATGGTGAGCGGAGACAGGGATCGATCAGGAGTGCCGGGACTCTCCGGAAGAGGAGGAGGAGAACCCTTGGGCTTGTTGGAGGGTGAGATCGAGGAGTTCTGGAGGATTGTGATCCGCTGTTTTGGAGCTCCACTTGTCGGGATGACCGCCGTGCTTGTAAAGGACTGGGCGCTTTCAGTCGTAGGACTCGTGATCTCAAGAGTTGCTGTATTGTGCCCGAGATCAGGGGTCACTTTGATATGGAGAGGTTGCCCAGGACTGTGTGTGAGGACCACGTCCCCCTGCTGAACGTGGTTCCCGTTCTGCCTCGGTTGTATCTTGCCATTCATTGAGTGCTGACTTTCTCTAGTCTTAAGGAAAGGGCCTCTTACTCTTCTCATGTTGTTGTTAAGGTTGTTGACATTGTTCATGAGCGACGGGGTGCATTTTGTGAGGTTGATCTCATTGTAATTGTCCTCGTCCTCTGGATCGCTCTCCAAGTAGAGCTTGCCGTTGACCAGGGCACGTTCCAGCGGTGCCAGATTCCTGTAACTCGGGGATAGGGTGTCTGTTGGGTCCGTTTGGACCTCCTTTGTGAAGACTTGTAGATCTGAGAAACGTCTTCCGTTCATTCCCGGTCGTAAGCTCTTGCTGAAGCGCCGGTATCTCTCCAGTTCTCGTGTAAGACTCTCCATCTCTCTGGCCAGCTCTTTATTCCTGACCTCTTGCTGGGTGAGTTTTCTCTGTAGGGTCGTGTGGTCTGTTTTATAGCGGCAGATGGATTCCTCTGTGCCCATGTACTCGTGGACCTTCTCTTTCAGGGCTTCTACCTCTCTAGTGAGATGACTGGATTTGGCCTCTTCCTCTTTCAGACGCTTGTATAAGATGTGCTCTTGGTTGGACTCCTCTTTCTCAGCCAACTGGTACTTGGACAGTTCGTTCCTGGACATCTCCAGTTCCTCCATCAGGGCTTTTGCTCGCTCCTGCTCATTGGAGTATCTCTTCTCCAGGGATTCGAACTCATCCTCAGTCTTCAAAAGGTCACCCTCAACCACCTTCATCTCCTTTAACTTCCTCCTGAGGCGTTCCACTTCCTGGGTCAAATCTTTCACTTTGTTGTCCTCCTGTTGGTAGCGGTAAGGACCAGGGCTCTTCGAGTGCTCCTCTTTGGATTTGCTCCTCAATAACTCTCTTTCCACTGCTTCCAGTGATTGAAGCCTCTTTTTCATCATGCTGACTTTAGACTGAAGATCACCGTTTTTCTCTTGTTCCGCTTTCAGCTTAGCTTTGAGCTCATCCCTCTCCCGAGTGGCAACACACATCTTCTCCTCCAGTTCGGCCTTCGAGCGCAGGGCTTTCTTGCTCTCGTCGATCAGTTTCTCAGTGACGGTGTTGACTTTGTCTTGTTCTGCCTGCAGTTTCCCAGTGCTGTTTTGCACTTTGTCCTCCATCAGCTTTAACTTTTCGGCCATGGCCTTTCTCTCATCCACCAGCATGACGGTCAGTGTCTTCAATTTTGTCAGATCCTCTTTCAGTGTCAACTCCATCTTCTCCAAATGAACTTCGGTAGCCTCAAGCTCTTTGATTCTGACTCTCAGCATATCAAGTTCATTGGACATGTGTTTAGTCATGGTTCGCTCTTTCTCCAGGTTGCTTTTCAGTGAACTGCACTCCTGCTTGCTCTTCCCAAAGGCGTCCTCTAGTTTCTCCAGCTCCATGATTCTGTGATTCAGCTTGTCCACCTCCACCTTTAAGCCACAGCTCTGGCTCGACTCCTTCTCCAGCTTTCGGTGGAGATCCCTGCACATGTCCTCCATCTTGATCAACTCCTCATCTTTCCCTTCCATTTCAAGCACTCGTTTCCTCAACTCCTCCACCTCCGCCACGAGGCTGGAGTTTCCACACTCCCCTCGGCTGATCTTATCCCGGATCTCCTGCAGTTCCTCCTCTGCTCTATGCAGGGTCTTGTTGGTTTCTTCGAGCTCGTCTAACTGTCGGCTGAGTGCGGAGAGCTTCTGGCGTAGCTGTCGGTTCTGGGCATCTTCATTGGTCAGTTTGGCAGTCATGGCGTCCTGCTCTTGGTGGAAATGGCAGGCCTGGTTGCGTAACTCCTCTTCCAAGCGGTGCACTTTATTCTCCTCTTCTTGCAACCGAGTTTGAGCGGAGCTCAGCTCGTCTTGAGCGTGCACGACCGTGTTCTGGAGCTCCTGGACTTTGGTGGTTTGTTGGGTCAGCTGCTCTGCGAGACGCTGCTGTTCGTCGACCACCAGGAGAGCGAAGGACTTTAGCTTGGTTAGTTCGTCCTTTAGACTTGTGACTTTCTTTGTGTTCTCTTCTTCCTTTCTCTCCTGGTAAGTCTTTTCCTGATCAATGAGCAGTTTCAATCTGGCAACAGAGAAGAAAATATGAAAAGATTGTTAAGATGAGTCGTTCAGAAAACCTTTTTTTTTTTTTAAAACATATAATTTTAAACATTTGTTGTGAAGGTTGATTCACACTGCACCGACCAACACGGATAATCACCAGATTACAGTACGTCATTTCTCAGACGGTCCATGACCTAACAAATGATATTTGAACATGAGCAATCGGCGAAACCAAGTTCAATGCTAACAGAGTAACAGACTGATCCGACAAAACCTAACAAAGAGTCTATTCTGTCGATGACCTCGACATAGATATAGAAACATATAAGCCTACAGTGAAAGTTAACTGAACTGGTATTCAACTGGGAACCTCTGTGTCCATGTTTGTTCATTTCATTTGAGGATGTATAGAGGTATAATTTTAAGCAGGGCTTGACATAATTTTTTTTGCTTACCAGCCACTGTGCCTTGTGGTTTTCCAAAGTTACTAGCCACTCAGCATTTTCACTGGCCACAATTTTCACAATGATACCATAAGGGAAAAACTGCCATATAGATATTTTTAATATTATCTCGTAATTTGTCAGCCGGTATATTAGGCTGCTGTCACTTTAAGACCTGACGCACTGACCCATACTGTTTTATATAGCCAATACTTGTCTTTATGTGTGCACTTTCGGTGAGAGCACAAAATCTGCGGGAATGAGTACAATTATGCTCAATAAGCGCAATCGCGCGCCGAAATTCAAGCCCTGTAACACCAACAATATCCATCCGGAACAAATGAAACGAGTGAGTAAAGGGACGCGGGTTTGTGTGTAACTCTGTTGGAGAGATAATACACACGCATTTGGCGGGTTGGCGGGTGGTAATGTCAAGCCATGATTGTAAGTAAGATGCAGTAGACTGAAACTGGGCCAGTGTTTTCCAGCGGCCTAAAGTGGGGCAGAAAGAGGGTCATGATGGCTGAGCTGTTCCCTAAAGCCGGCAGTGGTGGAGGGTGTTTTGACTACAGAGGGAACATTACAGGGGAAGTGGAAAAAGACTCTTAATAAGGGGGTTCCTCTACCCCCCAACACACCCATGAACACCACCACCTTCCTTCAGTGGTTTTATATTTTAAGGAATTCCCCCTCCTCCAAAGGCCATTACTGGCTATGTAAACAAACCCTGTTTCATGGGCTCCTAACCAGCAGTGGACTGGGATGATGTCAGTGGGACGAGGCGTATGAAGTGTGTGTCACTCATACGTGGCTTCAGCCACTTAAAAGTAATGGAAAATCAGTTTAATAATAACAGAACGACGATAGAAAATAAAAGTCAGATTCTAAAAATACAGTATTATAATCACAGTGCAGTGTCCGACTGAGCATGAACCGAAGCACCAGCGAGTTCCTTATAAACTGACGCTTTTCTTCTAGATCTGCTGGACTGCAGAAACATTATTGTCCTGTTATCTCTGTAAAGCTGCTTTGAAACGATCTATTGTAAAAAGCGCTGTATAAATAAGCGTGACTTGACTTGAAACAGCATAGTTCTATTCTATGAGATTTTACAGACTGTACATTCATACAGACGCTGGAAATATCGGTGGTGTCACGCTTACATTGGTCTCTTTGTAACTTCATTAAACATTTGTGGTTCGCTATTAACAGAAGGAAATGAAAGTGTTGAACGGCGTAAGATTGAAGCGCTATTGTGCGAACACTCACTTATTATCATCCATCACAGGACCAGAAAACACTTCAGGAGAGAATGAAGCATGTGTTCCAACACTTGTGTCTTATTTACCAATCTGAACACCCTCATAAGCTCAAAGCTTATGCTACATTTCTCTGTGATTTATTGGCATGATAGATTTATGCAATCAATGCATCGCAGTTAACATATTATCTGTCCTAATCAGTATGCAAGATTAAAACCAGTGCATCCTGAGACACGTATGCCGAATGAGCCTGGATAATAAGCAGTAGTTCATCAACGGTCATCAAAGTTGTCCTAAGACAAGAACGGGTATTGTTCAAAATTCATGTACAACTTTGATTAAAGGTTTTGATCCTCTTCAAATGTTACTGTACTACTCTCAGTGTGTTTAGTGTGCATGCTAAGGAGGAATCATGAGTCCGGCTGGACGCAACAGGACGAGATAAAGGACTCTGGGATCAAGCCACGATATAAGTCTCACTTTACTTTCCCACAGCTGAACTGCACTTTACTGTGTAGCAATTACATGAAATATGTTAATTGAGACACAACCTATGATTCTCAGCAAGAGAAATGACACGCTTCTGTCATCGTGTAAATACTGGGACAGTTATTCAATCCAACCACTGAAGCACATTCAGCATTAAACCGTGTGATCAATCTGAACATGAACCGTGGCGTTCCTCATAGCGGCGCGAAGCTGACGAGGAAACACACAGAAACACGACGGCCTAAGACAGCGCAGGGAATCAGCAGTCCTCCATTAGAGAGAAACACTCCTTCCCTGTTTAAACCTCGAACGCCCGATCCACTTGGACTCGCTCCCGAGAGCCCGGATCTCGACTGAGGAAAGTCAGGAAAAGTCTATGCCATGGAAAAAAGACTTTAATATGGAGTTGGAAAAGCCTGCGAGAAGGATTTAAATGTTGTCATGAATAAGGGTGTGTGAAATCTCAAGACGATCTGAGAGAACGTGGAAAAACTCGACTAGATTTAAATGACTTGTGTGTTTCTGAGATATTACATGTGAAAATGCATAAAAACAACGATGTCCTGAAATGTCGCTCAGAACACGAGACGGACGCCGAATGGTCATATGCAGATAATTAAAGCATTATGGGATGAAAGCCTCATCTCGAGTCCAGCACGTGTGCGCAGTGTGTGTCCAGCAGAGGGCAGCAGATCTGAGACCTGCTCATACAGCGATTATAACCCTCAGAAACGAGCATTACACGCAGTAAACAGCCCTGGAGCCTCCACAGCGAGCCGTGCTGAGATGAACGAGAGAGTTTAGATGGAGAGAGAGAGAGAGAGAGAGAGAGAGAGAGAGAGAGAGAGAGAGAGAGAGAGAGATCACTCTGCACTGTTGAGGAACTGAAGATAATAACTGTGTGTAACCCGAGGTAATAACAGGACTGGAGTTAATGACAGTGCGTGACCTGATCATGTTCATATAACAATTATAATCTTGTCCTTTTCCAAAATCTGCTCATTTTTCCCGCATTTCAAATCAACCCTGCAGACGAGATTAAGCTGGACATCACGAAACACTGAAACAAACTGATGAACATCTTCTGCAGTGATTCTGAGCTTTGTTATTAAGACTGAATTTACATGAAACCACAGATTGAACGTTCATCATCTTCATCATCTTCATCATCGCCTGCATTTCTACTGACTGTTCGAAGTTTAACTTCAGATTTGATGCAATGCAAGTTTGAGCTGTAAAACACAATCACCAGCTCAGCTGAAGATGAAATCCTCTCATATAACATGATATCAAAGTCCATCGCTCTGCTTCCAGCCAGGTTGTGTGTGTGTGTGTGTGTGTGTCGTACCTGGTGTGTGTTGTCCGCCCGCCGCTGCTGATGTTCGGTGTGTGTCAGTGATCTGAACATTCCAGCTCTGAAACTCAACAATGAGTCGGACTGAAGACGCCTATGAGAGCATGACATCATCAGCACGCCCTTATATGGAGCTCTCACAGCCATGAGCTCATGTGTGTGTGTGTGTGTGTGTGTGTGTGTGTGTGTGTGTGAGAACAGATCTCAGCGAGGAAAAACTGTTTGTGTGAGGGTTACAGGGAGAGAGTGTGTGATTAATGTGTGTGTGTAACGTGTCAAATATCTGCAGTCTATATGTCAGCGCTCTGGAAGGCAGTGTGTGTGTGTGTGTGTGTGTTTGAGAGATGAGAAACTTTCTTTGGATTACAACATTTCCTTCTGGTTTTCCTCACTTGAAGTCATTAATTCACCCAATGGGAGAAAAATGCACTAACATTTATAAAACACAGAGGAACATCCGTATATGTGTGTGTGTGTGTGTGTGTGTGTGTGTGTGTGAGAGAGAGAGAGGCTCAGTTCATTAGCTGTTACACAACTAACAAAGTTTTTTCAACGCACTGGCAATACACAATATATTGTTTCTACCCGTACAGTAATTTGAGTTGATTTAAAAGAGAGTCATGTTTGCGTCTCTTTAAACGAATGACTTCATGAACTCTAAATCTTTTTTCTGTAACACACGAATCTCTCGAGCGGCTCATATTTCCCTCCGAAATCAAAGACACAAAAAGAAATAGTTTTACACCAAGAAAGCATGGCCTGTTTGCAGACAGCGAGATATGTGTGTGTGTGTGTGTGTGTGTGTGTGTGTGTGTGTGTGTGTGTGTGTGTGTGTGTGTGTGTGTGTGTGTGTGTGTGATATAATATATAATCCTCATTGCTGACTCTCACTCCTGAAGATGCACTGTTCCTCATCAGGTGTTTTGTGTAATTCTCATATATATATATTCTCAGTGTTCAACACTACACACTGCCTGTTAGGGTTCAGCAAACACCCAAGACGAATAATACTCTACAATATTAATAACAGGCCACTGTGTGTTCATACAGTAATGGGTTTATTCTGTATTACAGTAATGAGGATGTGTAGAGCTTTAAGATTTTTTTTATTTTGGGATGGAATAAGAGATAAATGTCTGTGTCTGTGTGTGTGTGTGTGTGTGTTTTGTGTGTGTCATCTGGAAGTCATCTGACAGTCTCTGTTTGGAGGGTTTCAGGGAAACACAAACACACCGTTCGCTGCTTGTGCAACATCCTCGTCCTACACAAACAAGACCCTTCTTAATATAGAACCACAGTAAGTGTCTCGCGTCAGCGCGTGTGTGTGTGTGTGTGAGTGAGTGAGTGAGTGAGTGAGTGAGTGTGTGTGTGTGAGTGAGTGAGTGTGTGTGTGTGTGTGAGTGAGTGAGTGTGTGTGTGTGAGTGAGTGAGTGTGTGTGTGTGTGTGTGTGTGTGTGTGTGTGTGTGAGTG